GGAGGCCATACGCGAACCGGCGGGTCGGAAGGTGGGGAAGTACTCGTATATCCAGGACTGCATGAGAGTCAAGCAGCCTGCCACTCCCCCCGACTCCCCCCTGCTGGCCATACCTAAATGTCTGAATAGGTATGCCAGTGCGGCCGAGCCCCACGAGTAAGTCCCAACACTCTGCAGGTCCTCCATCATCTCGTGCAGGATCTTGGGACTGACCCTGTTACCACTCTTGTCTGTAAACAAGGTGGTAGCGAGCAGCACCCACAGCCAGCCAATCGCCACATGCTCAGCCGACCGACCTGCGCCATTCTTCTCCAACGCAGTAAAAACGGCTTCATTCGTCACCGAGTCGTGACCCCAAAACTTCGCTGTCAGCGTTGCCTAGTCCACCCCCAGGAGCTCCATGCAGTGCGCTTGCTGTGTCAAGGTGTCGGGGTCCCCTGTGACTACCGCACCCTCGACAGAAACCCCCAATATCGCCCTCACGTGCAGTGTGCTTGCTCGTCATCATCATATGTCTGCTCTTCATCATCATAGGCCTGCTCGTCCTCATCATAGGCCTGCTCGTCGTCGTCATCATCATCATCATGCCTCGAACTCCTGACTGTCGACTCAATGGAGTCCCGCCGACGAACAATACGTATAGTCGGGAGACGTGGAGAACTGCTAGGCCTCACTGACAAGGACTGCTGACCACTCCAACTGCCAGGCATGAATGGGCCAAACTGAGGCATGAGTGGGCCAGACTGCTGACCACTCCAACTGCCAGGCATGAGTGGGTCAGACTGAGGCATGACTGGGCAAAACTGCTGACCACTCCAACTGCCAGACATGAGTGGGTCAGACTGAGGCATGAATGAGCCTGACTGAGGCATGACGGGGCCATACTGCTGACCACTCCAACTGCCAGGCATGAGTGGGCCAGACTGGGGCATGACTGGGCCACACTGCTGACCACTCTCTATCGGACTAATATGATGTCTCGAAGTACCAGCCTGGGCAGTCTGTACCCTGCGAGCATGAAGACGCATCTGTTCCCTCTCACGCCGAACGGAAGCATTCACATTACGACTGGCTGTGTGTCGGGGTCCAGAACCCTCGAACTCGGGAACATACTCATTAGCCTAAATCAAAAATTTTAAACTAATAATTAGTATACATATTAATATATTTATTTTTTAATAATATATTTTTAATATTTTTTCATTAATCATATATATAATAATATATATGAAATTAATTAAATTGCTACTATTTATACATTTTTTTAATTATCTATTATTTAAGTAAACTAAAATAAATTATATATTAAATAAACTAAAAGAAACGAAAATAAAATAAACTATATATTAAATATATATATATA